GATGATGGGACATTGGAAACAATGTTGGAATTTATTACCAGGAAAAAGGGTAGATAAAATATGGTTGATTCCCACTATGGTATACTCTGCAATAGTGTAAGATTATCTTGGACTCCAGTCTCATTCAGTTTCAGCAGCTATTACAAAATATCTTAGAATGGGTAATTTGCAAACAACAGAAATTTGTTGTTTAGAGTTTTTGAAAGCTGAGAAAACCAAGATCAGTGCCAGCGGGCTTGTGTCTGGTGAGGATGTTGTCATAAATGGCCTGTCCATGTGTGCTCAACATGGTAGAAGGGACAGACAGCTCTCTCAGGCCTCTTTGATAAGGTCACTATCCATTCATGATGGTTCTCACAACTTAATCCCCCCCATGTCCCCACCTCTTAATAATATCACATTGCCTATTAAGTTTGAACATACAAATTTCATGGCGTCAAGGGCGGACCACATTCAGACCACAGGAGCACCTAACAACAAAGACATGTCTTAAAAAAGAAAAAAAAACAATTTAAAAGGAAATAAGGTAATCAACTGAATGAGCTTGAAAACAATACTATGCATATAAATGACATTAGTGAATTTAATAATCATATACAGAAACAAAAAGATACTTTAAAATGAAGGTGAGGAAAGATTAGGAAATAAAGATAAAAGAAAACAAAAGGGCCAGAAATGGTGGTGCATACCTGTAGTCCCAGAACTCAGGAGGCTGAGGCAGGGGGCCAGCCATGAGTTCAAGGCCAGCCTGGACTACATAGTTAAGTCAAGGTCAACTTGGGCTACACAGCAAGATCCTGTCACAAAACAAAACAAAGACAAAAAAGAAGGAGAAAAAGAACAGTACGGTAGCCAGTTGTGCCTTAAGTAAAAGGTTAACATAATGAGAGCTTTCTGGAAAGAACATTAATCCATGAAAAGAGGTGCAAAAGGAACAGAAAGGAAGCCAAGTCTCAGGCCTCAGGGACAAGGATAGGGTACTAGGGATGAGGATGAGGGAACCAGCCACAGCAAGGGGCGGGAGCAAGCTGTGGACTTTATTGCACAAGGGCACTTGCCTGAACCTGGGTCGGGGAAGGGCAGAAAGGGTTGTTGAGGCAAAAAGTAATCAAAGATGACTCTGGACTTCCTGCCTGAGTGCCTGGGAGGAGGGCACCACCTTCACAGGGACGGGAGAAGGAGCTGCTGAAGAGCTCACTTCAGGCCACAGGGCACCCTCTCCCTCACTGGCCTTCTGTTTCCTGAGGGGTGGCCAGCTGTGCCGCCCCTCAGGAGCAGACTGCGGTCTGGAGGCAGAGCTAGAGGCCCCGCTGGCCCCTCCCAGCTGTCCAGAGGAGGAGAGGACGCCCCAGCAGTTGCCGGGAGGAGCGCATGAAGACACCGCCCGAGCCCAGCCTCTGAGGACACCCGCACCACTTAGGGATCTGATGGCCACAGGAAGCTGGAGAAGAGTTTTATCTTCAAGTCAGAGGAAGAAATATAATAAGGAAACTGGACCCATGATGTCCATGGTCTTCCCAGCACTCGTGTTCTATGGTTCTATTAAATGATATGGCAAATAGATGAACAGATCCTTAGATTCTTTGTGATCTGCAAGTCTTAGACAATCCCAAGAGTGCCATGTTGTTTCAACTGCGTAAACATTACTTTCCTCCTTTATAAAACACATATACTTTAAAAAAAAAAAAGAAAAAAAAAAACAGATATCCCTTTGTAGGGGATATTCACCAACATCAGAAATATGGAGTTGTGGAAGGAAACTTCCAAATTATTTCACACATCTGAACCTGTTTCCTCTACTGTAAAATAAAAACTGTGACACTGACCTTTCAGGGTGTGTTTTAGGGATTTGAAATGGTTCTTCAATAGCACACTTTTAGTACCTGGTGGTTTTTAATTTTTACTCTTAGTTTTAAAGTTAATTTACATCATAGCAAAGTAGCTGATTTCAGCCAAAATAACCCCTTTATGTCTCTGTGGCATGCAGAATTCTAAAAGGCCCTGTGATTGCTGGACCCTGATATCCTTTGAGTAGAGACAGAACCTGTGATTTTCATCCAATCAAGAAAAAATGAAAATGTGAGGGGACTTTGCAGATGTAATTACAACCTTTAATCAGATGACTTTGAGTTAGTAAAATGGGACACCCTGACTTAATCAGGGGAACTCTTGAAAAAGTTCAGGCTCTCCCTGAATTGAGAACATCAAAACAACAGAGACACCCCGATAGAGACACCCAATGCTGTCCATTCAGAGTGAGTATCCATGACCTGCCTGTAGGGAAGAGCCCTTTCTATAAGTGAGGGCTTTAATTCTCCTGCTGGCAAGAGTTGCATTCTGTAAACAACTGGAGTGAGTGAGTGTGGAAGACCCCAGGCTTCAGATGAGAGGGCCACCTGGTTGTTGACACCTTGATTTCAGCCTTGTGAGATTCTCAGCCAGGGCTCTGGTAATAAGTGGGTATTATCTTAAACCACAATTGGTGATTATTTGTTACTCATCGATAGAAAATTAATACTGTATACTTCTACTCCTTTGAAAACATGACTTTTTTGAAGTGTGGTGGTGCATACCTGTAATCCCAGCACTCAGGAAGCTGAGGCAGGAGGATCATGGAGAATTTGAGGTCAGCCTGAGCTATACAGTGAACTGAAGGCCAGTCTGGACATAACAAAAGAAAAAAACAAACAAGTAAATAAACAAAAACATGGCTTTGCCAGGAGTGATGGCACATGCCTATTATCCCAGTTTACAAATCTTCAAAACTGCAAAGAGCAATCAGTTTGAAGTAATAACAACAACAAGACTCTGAAACTCAAAAAGTCCCTGGGGTTTGTGGGCTGATTTATAGGTCTGTGACTGGGACTTCACGGTTCCAAACCCTATTTAAAAATCATCCAGGAGACACTCTGGAGTGCTTCTCCTAATGAGCCAATTTTACTGGGGAGGCCTTGGTCACAGGTGTGCCCATCAGACAGGCAGCAGGGCCAGTCACCCTCTGCAAGGAAGAATGGGTCTCTCGGGGGAAGGGGAAATCGGGTGGAGATGATAGCTGACAAACCAACATGGGAAAGGTGATGTAGGTTTTTGAGCAAGTCAAGGATAATATTTTGAAAAGTTATTCTGACCTTTATATCCTTATCGTGACTATAATGTACAGGATAGATTAAAGAGGAAGAAAACAGGAAGTTGGAAAAGAATGGAACCCACTGAGGTCTTAGATAAGAACAAAGAGTGCAGAAATAGAGACGATCCAACAAAGCCAGGATTTTTTGTTCTTGTTTTTGTTTTTTGTCTTGGGGGTGTATGTTTGTGGGTTTTTTTGAGACACTGTGCAGTTCAATCTCACTTTAAACTCACTATGTATCCCAGGCTAGCCTTGAACTTGAGATAACCCTCTTGCCTCAGCCTCCAGAATTTGAGGATTAGAATCATGTACTGTCACACCCACTTTAGGATAGATATTTCAAAATACATTGTTTTCACCAAAAATATTCTCATTGCACTAAGTCTTTTTTCTTCCTTTCTTTTTTTTTTTTTCAGTAATCACCAATCCCATTGCCCACATAACCTAAGCTGACAAAATTTTTTGTTTTTTCTTTTTTGAGGCAGGGTCTCGCTATCTAGTTCAGACTGACCTTAAACTTACTATGTAGCCCAGGCTGGCCTTGAATTTGTGTTGATCCTCCTGCCTCAGGTGCTGGAATTACAGGCCTGTGCCACCACACATTAATTATAAATTCCAAGAGCATTGAAATATTGGAAGGAAAAGGCAAAAGCCTCCCTCTGCTCTTTAAAAGCAGTCACAATTATTGAATTGGTTACATTCAAATCAAAGAAAAAATGTACTACCATGCAACATACTAATACACATAGATTCTTATTTATAACCAAAAGGAAACCTACCATTATTTTTGCCACTCACTAATAGATATAAGTAGTTTCTATTATTTTAGAAATTAATGCTTCTTCCACTTTACTGAAGTGTAAATGTAAGTATCACACATGGAGTGATAGAATATCATTGTGCAATCTGTAATGAATCGAGTTGCTGTTATCACATTTTTTAAGAAAGTGAAACAACCAGACATTATATGTACCCTATAAGAAAAACAAAAAAAGTACCTCCTAGGAAAGAGTATAACCACAGTGGAAAAGGTAAACTTAATTCTAACCAAGCCTCTAACTTCCAATTTACAAGAAACACAGAGGCAGAGATTGTGTTCAACTGCATCACAGAGAACCAATTGGCAAAACCCAGAATAAGAGCTGGGCGTGGTGATACAAATCTGTAATCCCAGCATTCAGGAGGCAAGGGCCACAACAAGTTCAAGACCCTGGACTACATAGCAAGACCCTGTCTCAAAAAACCAAAACAAAACAAAAAAATCCAGAATGAAAAACTATTGGAAAAACAATTCAGAGTCTTCAATGAAGTAATTACAAAAAGAAGAAAAACGATGGATAGAATATCCTAAAGAAAAGTGAGAAGTTATTATCAATCACAGTATGCAGAACTTTTTTGGATTGAGATTCAAATAAAATATTTTTAAAAGATATAAGAAAGACAAGTTGAAAAATTGAACATTAACCCATAATCTAATGAATTAAGGAATTACTGTTAATGGTTTTAGATGTGATTTAATACTGTGTGCTTTATCTTTTAGAAATACATAAGGAAAATTTATGGGTGAAATAATATAGTATCTGGGATTTCCTTCAAAATATGGAATGGTTGAGTTATTAATTGTTCAAGCTGGATAATGGATACAATAGCTTCTATGTATGTGTTTGAATTTCTTAACTATCAAGAATTAAAATTACAATTTTAAAAGCTGCTATTCCACATTCCTGGATAAGTATCTTAGAGTTTTTTATTTAGGTATTTTTGTTTTGTGCTTTGTACTTAAATATAAAAAAGAGAATTTTCATAGCTATTGCTAAAATACTCACAAAAACCCTTTTTATCATGTCTTCTCTTACGGTTAAAGGAAGTGAGCACCTCCCACCCATCCATGGAAGCGACTGAGGAAGGGATGGGGTAGAAAAATTATTTCCATAAATTTTATGAGGTAAGTGTCCACCGTGTACCGAGGACTGAAGACGAAGTGGAAAACCAGACTCGAAAAACCTCTGTCTAAGGCTCGGGGAGAGAGAGATCATAAACTAGAGAACAAACGAACCAGTTTCAGACAGCTGCTAGGAGGAGGGCAAAACACAGGCAGAAAAAAGAAGCACGAATGTCTGAATGGATGCCTTGGAAAAGTCTCTTCCAGGAGACTCTTGTGCCAGGATCGCAATGGCCAGGGCCTTGAGAGAACCAGAGGCCGCAGCGTTCCAAGCAGAATACTAAATGCAAAAGTGATTCTCAAACCCAGAAACAATAGTCCCAAAAGGGTAACTGCAATGGAAGTCTAAGAAATCTGAGGTGGCGCGTAATTTTAAATATTCATGTCGCCCAATCAGGAAAAGGCTGTACCTGACTGCCCCTCTCCACCAAGTACACAGCAGCTGGCGTCCACAGGACGCACCGCAGGGGAGAACCGGTGGCTGGACACACAGGCTGCTGCCACGCTTCAGTCCTACAAAGCTCTGTCCACCGGACTCGGGCTCAGCTGTGTCCTACAGTCCCCTTAAATCATGGCCGAAGGAAATCAGTCATTCGATCTTAGATCTAAAAAACAAACCCAACAGAGCCGCCTGGACAGAAGCCTGGAGCGGAGAGCACGGGACGGGGGATGGCCACGGACGGGGTTCTAGAATTGACATCTGGAAAGGCCAAGCAAGGTGTAAACATGATACAGGAGCAAATCCAGTCAGGCACCAGAAACTTCAAATTAAAAATGTTTAAAAAGCTTTGTGTATCATCTGCTAGAACCGTTAATTAGTTACTTTTTGACAAGAAAACAGAAGTGAGCAAAGCTCTTTTCTGATGAGGTGGGTGGCTCTGAAAAGAGCCTTTGGGGAGCGCCAAGTGCGGGCGGCACTCACTTGGAGCTGGTGTACTTGGTGACCGCCTTGGTGCCCTCGGACACGGCGTGCTTGGCCAGCTCGCCGGGCAGCAGCAGCCGCACGGCCGTCTGGATCTCGCGGGACGTGATGGTCGAGCGCTTGTTGTAGTGCGCCAGGCGCGACGCCTCGCCGGCGATGCGCTCGAAGATGTCGTTCACGAAGGAGTTCATGATGCCCATGGCCTTGGACGAGATGCCGGTGTCGGGGTGCACCTGCTTCAGCACCTTGTACACGTAGATGGAGTAGCTCTCCTTGCGGCTGCGCTTGCGCTTCTTGCCGTCCTTCTTCTGGGCTTTGGTGACCGCTTTCTTTGAGCCCTTCTTGGGAGCCGGGGCAGATTTTGCCGGTTCAGGCATAATAACGTACAACACCAACAAAGCTTAGCGAAGGAACGAAGTACGAGAATGGGTGGACCTGATCCTTTTATAACCACGTTATGCAAATGAGGGCTCAAAAAGTCTTTTCTTTCCATTGGTCTATATAGGGACCTTGCGTTTTCAGTAAAGCCTACGTGCAACAACGACTCTCCATTCTATTGGCCGTTTCTGAAGCCGAATTAGAGCCAATGGGAGAACTCTTTCCTGACCCCACCCCTAGGAAAAATTATAAAGGCTTCCTTCTTGGTGCTGTTTCAGCCGTTTTGTTGAGAAATTCTACGCTTTAGGTATTTTTAAGCTTTCTTTTCTCCTTTTTTGTAGTCATGTCTGGCCGTGGCAAGCAAGGAGGCAAGGCTCGCGCTAAGGCCAAGTCGCGCTCCTCCCGCGCCGGGCTGCAGTTCCCGGTGGGTCGGGTGCACCGCCTGCTGCGCAAGGGCAACTACGCCGAGCGGGTGGGCGCCGGCGCGCCAGTCTACATGGCGGCCGTGCTCGAGTATCTGACGGCCGAGATCCTGGAGCTGGCGGGCAACGCGGCCCGCGACAACAAGAAGACGCGCATCATCCCGCGCCACCTGCAGCTGGCCATCCGCAACGACGAGGAGCTCAACAAGCTTCTGGGCAAAGTCACCATCGCCCAGGGCGGCGTGCTGCCCAACATCCAGGCTGTTCTGTTACCAAAGAAAACCGAAAGCCACAAAGCCAAAAGCAAATAAAACCTGACAAACTAAACCAAAGACCAAAGGCTCTTTTTAGAGCCACCCAAGTTCTCAAAAAAAGAGCAAATGCGCTACTCTGTGATCAGCCCTTCCTTTGACAATTTAGTGGCTCTTAAAAGAGCCTTTTGGGTGAACGGGGGTGGTACCAAGTCTAATTATTTATTCTTGCCAGGCTTGTGACTCTCCGTTTTCTTAGGCAACAAGACAGCCTGGATGTTGGGCAAGACGCCGCCCTGGGCAATGGTGACACCTCCGAGTAACTTGTTGAGCTCTTCGTCATTTCTCACCGCCAGCTGCAGGTGACGAGGGATGATGCGCGTCTTCTTGTTGTCGCGGGCCGCGTTGCCCGCCAGCTCCAGGATCTCGGCCGTCAGGTACTCGAGCACCGCGGCCAGGTAGACTGGCGCGCCGGCGCCCACCCGCTCGGCGTAGTTGCCCTTGCGCAGCAGGCGGTGCACCCGGCCCACCGGGAACTGCAGCCCGGCGCGGGAGGAGCGCGACTTGGCCTTAGCGCGAGCCTTGCCTCCCTGCTTTCCGCGTCCTGACATTACGGCTATTAATGCAGTTGCAGCTTCTTTTTCAAGGAGAGAGATATGGAAAGAATAACCAATTTGATGTAATTTATAAGAGCTACCGGGAGGGGTGAAGAGAAGTAGTTTGATTGGCTAAAAGCGAAGCTGTCTCAAACAGCCAATAGGGAAGCAGAAAGCAGCCCCCCACACACACACTTTGCCTAGAGGAAGTGACGGAGTTTGTAGGAATCTACCAATCGCTGAGAGCCACATTAAAGCCCCTTATTTGCACTCTAGCGTTTTTAAAGACAAGCTTTTCAAATAAAACGGTCTTTCTCTTTTACAGAGTGGCAGTTTGCGGGTGTTTTCTTCCCAGCTATAGCAGAGAAGTCCCAAGGACCCCTGCAGAGTGCAAGAAGACCCCAAGTAGATGGACACTTTGGAGGATGTGGAACTCAGCAGTCCGTGGTCCCTTTGTCTCACCCTCTGTCACAGCCAGAGTCCGTTAAAATTAGCTACTAAGGCTTCCACCTTTCTGGACCTTCATTTTAGTCGCAGGTTTCGCCCTCACCCGCACCCCCACCCCCACTCCAAGCCCAACCCTTGCGCGGTCAGGAATCGAATTTGGCCAAGGGCTACAATGGATGTCATCTTCCTCTTGACCTCCAGGAGGCGTCTATTACCGCCTTGAAATGCTCCCGAGGCTTTCAAAATGTCTCCCTCCGTTTTTCTTCTCACCTGACTTCCCTTATCCTGTTCGTATTCCTCTGCCCACCCCTAAACCCATAAGCCCACCTGGACTCTACCTATTCCCGCCTCTTCACTCATCCCAAGGAGTCTATCTACTCCCGGGCTGCCAACTAACACCCAGATTTATTTCATAAACGCAGATCCTTACATTTAATTGCTTACTCGATAATTCACCTCTTTTGTTCCAAAAAACACCTTAATCATCCCAAGGTGAACTCATGTAAACAACTCCCAAATTTCTCTTTGCCCGCTATCCCGGAGTTGCACCAACAAACTTCAGGTACCAAAACCCGAATCTATTTAAAGCAGAGCAATAAGGGGAGAGACACTCCCAGGGAGAAAGACTCTTCCCGTACAGTGACGCAATTATCACTGTACACAGAACCAACCAGAAGACGCTCTTTTCAATCCTTCATTAGCATGTGGACACAACTATTCAAAAGACATTGTTCCAGAGCTTTATTTACATACAGCCGTAAACCAAGCGAGCTTTTCCCCAAGATAGTTCACCCGTGGCCTAAGGCTAACGAGAGTGATTAATAATAGGACAATGCCCCACTACCTTATTTGTACCGGGGAGATAACCCGAAAATTTTAGATACAAAAGACCTCTTTCGCCTATCCTAGGCCCTGCTGCGGGTCTTTTCCTCTGCTCCCCTCTCCGTGTAAAGCGTACTTTTCCACCTTCAATAAACGTACAACTCTGCTGCCTTTTCTGTGTGTCTTGTCCAATTCCTTCTGGGGGACACCAACAAGACACCTGAAAAGAAGCCCCGCAGGACGCACTCTCCGGCAACATTCTCTTCCCGATGTCAACAGTTATTAACATCTCTTCTGCCTTTTTCTCACTGCTTTGTCTACCTCGGGGTTCTATCTTAGATTTCTGCAAGAACACCTGACCGGGCATTTTGCCAACTGGCTCCAAAGGCTTGCGTCATTTTAGGAATCCCTACCGTGGGAGTTCTGTTACCACACACTATTTTCACCCTTTCCTGGACATCCCTTAAGGAGGTCGAATGCTGTATAGAAGTAGATAAAAACCCTGTTGTTTGCGCTCTTTTCAAATGTTGTCTTTTATCCTTACTTTCTTCAACCAGTATTTAATGCATATTTACTGTTAGTCAGTGGGTATGCAGATAAATAAGACTGATACAAAAACATCCCTGATGAATGCTTCTAGGAAATTGGAGGAAGCCAGTGAGCTGAGAATTAAATTAGTTAATATCAGCTATCTCTAGCTGGGTGTGGTGCCTCTTGCCTATAATCATGACTATAATCCTTATAATGGAGAGGCTGAGGCAACAGGATCACTGCAAGTTCGAGGCCAGCCTGAGCTACATAGTGAGTCTGAGGACAGCTTGAACTGCCTAGCAAGACCCTGTCTCAAAAAAGAAAGTTTAGAATGGAAATATACCTTCCCATAACTGACTCTCCCCTTTCTCAGTCACCTATTTTTTTTTTTTTTAAGGTATTGGCAATTGAACCCAAGACCTTTGCACTGAGCTACATCCCTACCCTTTTAAAAATGTTTTAATTTGTAGTATTTCTTCATTTGTTTTTGCGATATGTCTCACTGTGTGGCTCAGGCTGGCCTCGAACTTGAACTTGAACTCACTATGTAGCCCAGGCTGGCCTCAAACTTGCGGTGATCCTCCTGCCTCAACCTCCTGAGTACTGGGATTACAGCGTGCACTACCATACCCAGCTTGTAAATTCTGATATTGCTAACTTTTTAGACCTTCAAAGTTAAGAACAAAATTCAAGTAACAGGGACCACACACACACCAGCGCTGGTACCCTACAGAGGCCCTGTTTGAGAGGCCAGCTGAACATCCTGCTTGACTTCTGACCTCTTCATACTGGTATTACAGTGTCCTGCACTTCAAGAAAAGGTAAAGGGAAAAGAGATTATGTTGAGCCCTTACTTTGTGATAATCCCTATGGTAGTGGCTACCTACAAAATAGATACAATTATGTTTCACAGATAAAGACAGTGAGCAGGCTCTGAGGTAGTAAAGCACTTGCCAGCATCACACAGCTGCTTATTAGTCCAGATCTGCCTGATCGTTGAACATGCTCTTCACTACTTCATTCATATTCTCATACTCAGTGCATGTGGGCTTAATGAAGCCACTGACTTAACCAGCATTGCTTCCCTCCTCTGTGGAGAGGATTGGTTTGGTTTCGTTTGGTTTCGTTTGGTTTCGTTTGGTTTCCTTTGGTTTCCTTTGGTTTCCTTTGGTTTGAGACAAGGTCTCGCTACATAGTCCAGGCCGGCATTGAACTTCACTATGTAGCTTAGGCTGGCCTTGCAATCCTCCTGTATCAGCCTCCTGAGTGTTGGGATTACAGGTGTTCACCATTATGCCTAATGAGATTCTTAACACTTTAGATTCCATACAACTGCTCACTTTGGCAGCACACATACTAAATTCTACACAAGACCTTAGTAGCTCAGTCAACACAGGCCAATATTCTATAAATTATTGGCTCAGTTACTATCTATTGCTTCTCAAAGACCCCTTTCCCAGCCTTCTTCCAGAGCTGCTCTACAGAAAAGGAGCCAACCATCTGTAAACATATACATCATCAACAGGCTGAATGGGATTTCCTTTAACACCTCTGGGATTGTTTACCAAAGACAGCTGAGTTCTTTCCCCGGCAATTTAGTTAAACATTTATTTTACATCCTGGCTCCATTCCATCATTGCAATCACAAAGCTCTCCCTGCCACCACCCCACCTCCCTACCACACCGCATTTCATCCCGGAAGTGAGCGGCTCCCTGTGTGCCCGCACACTTGCTGCTGGCTGATGGGCTTTGATGTCTGGCAAATTCTCTTCCCTCCAGTTTCAGCCCAGCTGTCGCTTCCTTGGTGAGTCCTTGTACTCCCACACAATCAGCCTTAGTGTGTCCACATCATTTGTCACGTCCAGGTGACAGCACCTGCCTCTCTGCCCTGAACTGGAATGTGGGTCTCACCTCCTGTCTGTAACTGTTCAGGAGAGACAATGTCTTTATATTTGAATCACTAGTTTTGACTCCTTTTACCTGGCTCTTTAAGGAGGTAGTTAAATGTTTTTGGTATAAATAAAACACTACTTTTTAGAGAATTAGTGGGTTTTTTCCCAAGATATTTAGTTAGCAACCACTTTCTAAATACCAACCTAGGGCTGGGCATGGTGGCACATGCCTGTAATCTCAGCACTCAGGAGGCTGAGGCAGGAGGATCGCTGTGAGTTCAAGGCCAGCCTGGGCTACATGGTGAATTCAAGGTCAGCTTGAACTGCATAGCAAGAACTTATCTCAAAAACCAGAAAATAAAATTAAAAAAATAATAAAAAATAAATGCCAACCACAAGTGGTAGCCTAAAAGACAGAATGACATAATGAATAATATAATGTAATATTTTAATAATGAATAAAAATGACACACCCCACCTTGATAGAATGTTAGAATAAATGTAGAGAACACAGCACAGAGCTAGGAACTCAAGAGCCCCCAAAGCTGGATGGGGTGGCTGTGATGGCTTGGTTTATGTCAACCTAACCAAGGAATGCCCAGGAAATTACTGAAATATTGTTTCTAGGAGGTTTTTCTTGTCTTTGTTTTTTTGTTTTTTTGTTTCCCTGTGAGGGGATTTCCGAAGACGTTACCATTTGAATTGGTAGACAGTAGGATCTGCCTTGAGAGTTCAGGTGGGCACCACCCAGCTCTTTAAGGGCCCTAAAAAAGAACAGAAACACAAAGGAACAGCAAATCTGCCACTGCTCCAGGCAAACATCCATCTTCTCTTATCCTTAATGCCAGCACTCCTGGTTCTCCTATCTGCACAGTCAGACTGAGGCTCACGGTCAGCCCAGGGGTCTTAGGCCCTCGATGTGGACCTGGACTTAACACTGCCGGCTCCCCTGGTTCTCAGGCCTTCAGGTCTGTTGTGGAACTCCACCCCTCACTTTCCTGAGTCTCCAGCTTGCAGACAGCAGGCTGTGGATGATGGGACTTTTCAGCTGCTCTAATCATGTAACCCAATCCCTCTCTCTTTCTCTCTCTCTCTCTCT